AAGGCCGAATCGACTGTCAGAAGAGCCGGTACTTCGGTACCTAGAAGTCTATCAAACTTGTTGCCATGAAATGGAACGTTGCGATCCGCTTCATGAAACTAAACTGCATATGAACCTGGATTTACCTTAATCAGGGTGCTCAACTGTTTGGTGGGAAGGTCCATTTAACTCATGTTCCACCTGTCTCGCGGTCCGGAAGTAAAATTTCTGCGCTAGAGATGGCATTCATAATCAGATGATGTCGCATTTAGATTAATTCTTTGGGAAGAACTCTTCAAGAAATAGGAAGATCGGTGAGGTGGGAGGGGATGCGGTTGCGAGTCGAATGAGGAGATATCTTCCAGCATAGAGGAATGGAGGCATTTGGAACTTCTTTCCTGCTTCGAGACTTCATTATTGTCCCTGCCAACGCAGGAGAGGTGCAAGGGAAATAAGCCAGAAAATCTTAGAAATAGGGAGATCAGCACCTGACAGAAACAGGAATCATTGAGATGACAGAAATTCATATTTCGGAACCGTCTGGGAAATCCCGGACAAATAGCAATCTCAGTCTGCGGCCCGGAGGATGGGAGCTCGCGGTCCTGATCCGGACCGCGGTCCGCAGGTCGGGCAGCGCTGACCCTAATGCTCTGAAAAAATGCCTGACATTCTGTAATCCCACTTCGTTTCTTTTGGGGAACCTTTTTCGCCTTCTTCGTAAAATATTACTGCTCCGTAAAACTCTCAAGAGTGGGCTACCCAGATGGGCTACGAAAAAATGAATAAATTTGACGTTTTCAAAAAGTGAAATTAAATTTTCTCCACTATCACAGGTTGATGTAACTTACTATCTGGTGGAGCGATTTTGTGAGTGGAAAGGAAGAAACATTCCAATTTCGAGGTTGTTGATGCGTTCTGAGAGGAATGCAAGGAGGTTGACTTTTTTAACGGAACGGGTTTGAGAAAATTAATAGGCGCAACCAAGGCCTTCTCTCCAACTCCCTCAGCCTCCACTCACCGTTTCTCTTTAAAAAGACAGAGGTGCTAGAATGAATCGTCATCTTTTTCTAAAACGATGAGAAGGAAGCACTGTATAGGCACGCCAGTGATTAGTTCTTGCATGTTTTTATGATGATGCAAGCACCAATAAATCACGGAAATCTTGAAGTATTTCGCGTAGAAAAAGTTTTCGACTGATGAATACTAAATTAAGGATTATTAGAAAGAAACGGAATATCTCGAAGGAAGAAACGAAAATTCTCTGCATTAACCGAAAATTGATTTCGACGATGCATGAAAATTTATTGGGCAATGAGTGGAAAGGTTCTGTTTAAGTGAGAGAGGAGGAGATGCGATTTATACAAATAATCGAAATCTTTTTTTGCGCAATATAAGGAAATTCTTTCTTACGTATTTTCAGAATTTCTGTTTAAAAAAATTTAGTGTTCAGGAGACCGGAGATATTATAAAACTTCATAAATAGTGGAAGCTCGTTTCTTGCCATGAATCTCAGTCCTCTAATCGTCTGCTGGACTCATTTCAAGGGCATTCATGTACGGCTGTATTCGTGCGAGAGCGTGTGTGCTGAACGCGCACTGTAGCGGAGCGTGTTAGGAACGGTCTTGAGGAAGAAGGTCTGAAGGGATGGGGAGGAGAATTCATTGTCTGGGAGAATACCTGCCAAGGCCGCGGAGTCAGCTATTTCGGGATGCCATCCATTATTGCCAGCAGCCCTACGGGCTTCCGAGACGGTCGAGTATGGGCCCGTGGATCTGTAGAATCGTGAGCGGACTTTGTATTTGCTTTTGATACTCGATCTGAGTTTTCCTTTCATAGCCCCTTCTAAGATGCAGGCATCGAGTCCGTTCCTGAAGGAAAAGTCGGAATTTCTCGGTATCTGGCGCGCTTCGTCTGCCAGCGTCTTTTTGTATCCGTGACGAGAAGCCGTTTCGTGGGTTATTAATATCTGAACTGGATATATCGCCGCTCATCCAGGCGATTCATCCGAATTTGAACTTGCTTGATCCTGTCCCCATGTTTCGGGTAGGGATCAGCGATGTTCCGAGGCGATTAGGGGAGGTTTCGTTTGTCCTCGTGTCCGCCAAGAAACATTTCCCTCCATTCATGTACGTTTCCCTGGGACAAGCATGCCATAAATGCAGCCATTCCGTGATGATAACCACATGGTTTAGTACATTCTGCTCACAATAACTGAATCAAGCCTTTTTTACTTTCCTTGGACGCTCTTTCAATGGAGGTAGCCATTTTATTTCCAGGTTACAGTGCACTCAGTTGCTCGCAAGCATTGATGCCAACGTTTTCAGCACTTCTTCAGTTTATATTTGTGGCCAGAAGGGGCTCTCCTTTATGAAGGGACTCTCTCCCTCATACCATCGATTCCATAACGGTGGATCCCGAACCGCCGGACACATGAAGTTTCAATCCCATTAAAAGGAGGTTTGGGAAGCACTGCCTTATACTATTTCCATAGACATTCTTTGATCCAAAATACCCAATAGAATGTCTCCCTCTCCCGTTGCCATGTATGGGATGGCAGGGAGAGGTACAACTAAAAGGCAGGGGTTCGGTGGTGTAGTGGTAGAACACTCGACCGGCATTCTGGAGGCTCGCCAGATTGAGAGTCTCCAGAGAACTTAGGTTGAAACGATAGTGGGCTGATGGTTAAATTTCCAATGTGACTTCATGGAATATAATCTCATCATTCATAATATCTCTCATAAAAAGGGGTTTCGATAGAGGGAAGGCCTGACAACCTGAATATGAGATATCTGCAGATAGGATGACAATTTCGGTGTAAGACTGAATCCCAGCCCGCGTAAGATAGTACCGTCAATCCCAACTAATCGGCAACATTATGGTTTGTGACCCCAGCCACGTGAGTAGGGCTCTACTTATACCGAATGCAATTTAAATGATGAAAAGAACGTATCAAAAACGTTAATTGCATATCGGACGAATCCTAAAAAGGAAAGTCTCATTAAACGCTTTCCATGGAAATTTTAAATTCACGTAGTTCAGGGAACTCATTAATTGAACTGTTTTTCATTGCTTTGAATTTTTAACATTTAAGCAGTCAATAGAACGTTCCCAAGGACGTTAATGAAACGCTGACAATAACTTCAATGAAACGTTCATTGAACACGCACGTTCGGGTGCTACTGGTTTGGTAGTCTCTGAAGATCATGGTGACTTCTTCCACGACATCGGAGCATTTCCTTTCCTCCGGTTCACCTGCCACTAGTATATATATTTATATCATACGTAATTCAGCCTTCCCTGTGGGCTCGACAACTGTCGTTTCCGGCTTGGTTTGGTTCAATTCCTCGGGGACTCGCCAACTTGCCTACTAAACCTGGATAGAACTTGGTTAATCCAGAGATTCGATATTTTAACAAGGCATCTAGCCTCCATTCCTAGAAAATCTCGATCGATAAAGCTTTACATATAATGCAACTCCCCCGCGAGCTCGAAGATTCAGGCGTGTACGCACTAGGAGATCTTTCGGCGTGGGTTCACTTCGAGCGGAATAAGTTCATTGCTGAAACTATCCTGGACGCAGCAAACTTCCAGGCAGAACAACCGACTCAAGGCCTTTGATAAACAAGGTCTGGACAGGTCATCGCGCAGGCGCCATATTGCTTCACTTCTCCCCAATCCCTCCCGCTTCCGAAATTTCCAATTAGTTTTAACGGAATGCAGAGTATATGCGTTTCCCATGTACTAAGCCTCTACCTGCACCTTCCTGCTGCTGGACTCGTTGACACGACTGGGAAAGCAAGCTAGGCTTGGCCTGCAAATGACAGGAGAGAGTGACTATTTAATTTACGCTTGCTGGTTATGAATTCCTTACATTAGTATAGCAAAGTGATGTCCCTACTGCAGGAAGACTCGGCATGATTTACACACATTTTAAAAGGAGCATAGAAACAGAAGACATTATGTTGCAATGCTGTATTCATGGCTGGCCCCAACTATTTCGTCTCGTTATGCAAAGAATCTCCAAACGCCCCCTCCCCCCCTCTCTCAGAGCGAAGAGGCGTCAATCCCAAACATTCAAAAAGACGACGTGGAAACGGAATGCTTTTCCACTTTCTGAAGAAAAACTGAGGGTGCATCCACACCCCTATGAAGGGGCACATGTGGTACATGCCTACGGCCGGCGCTGATTGTATTCATCCTCCTCGAAAGAGTAAAAATTAAACCAAAAGAAAAGAAAAGAAAAAAAGAAAGGTATACAACACAGGCACAGAAGAACATTCGTTTTTCAAAGAAAAAATTTCCCTGTGTCTCTTCCCCTGAGTTGGAATTCATTATTTTCAATCTGACCTGAAAGAAAGTCATCCACGCATTATTCATCAGATCATGAGAAGACACATGAAAAGAATCAGACTTAGTCCCGAACTTCTGCAGCCTTACTTATTAATCTCACCTCACACAATCTGATCTCCTTATTTCCCAGTTCTTCCGGCTAACTTTGGCCCTCCATAATTCACTCCTCTCGAGTGTGAGGGAAATCTGAACATCTTGTACCCTTTTATTGACGTGTTGGTACATACAACTGCTGTGCACCCCCACCGTGGCAGGAGAAATCGCGGCACACACAGAGAGAGACTTGAATTCCTACTTAATACGTATGGGCACACACACTCAGTCATGAACCAATTTGGCTAGTATGGTGTCACGTGACGGCGATCAGCCAATGGGAAGCCACAGTTGGCGGCATCCCCGCATGCAAAAGTTATCCAGACCTTCTTTATTTAGGGCTTGAACCGACCCGGTAACCTGCGACATCTTCCCTCTGGCGAGAGAAAGCAGCAGTTACGTAGACTAGCGGCAGGTGGTGCCAGCCCCAGCAGAGGGAGAGCAACGACCGGGCACGAGTCCAGGGAAAATCTAATTCGAAGCCTCCGGCTGACACAGCCCCAACCGATTCCATTCATCGTGGATATAAGATCGCCCTCAACAGGAGAGCTGGCAGTTACCACGCGGTAACCGCCGCGATGGCGTTTGCACCCAGACTGCGCGCGGTCGCCCGGCCCTCCAAATCCGTGAGCATTTCCGTTCCGATCGCGCTGTTGTGCTTCTTCGCCCTCCTCGGCTCCGTCCGGCACGGCAGGATTCGCCTGCTGGGGCAGTTGTGGCCGAATGGCCGTCGGTGTCTCCCCGTGACTCCCCCGGAGTATCGGTCCGAGATCGGGCGGGTCCTCGAGGAACGCGGCTACAAGACCGGGGCAGAGCTTGGGGTCAAGCAGGGACAGTTCTCCGTTGAGGTAAGCTGTTTCTTCGTGCCGAGTGTGGTATATGGGCGTTGCTAATTCATCGTTGTTAATTAGGCTTATTCATTTATTTTTTATTTTTGTCATTTGTTCCATGGTATGGAAACTTCCGGAAAGCAAATGGATTCATTTATTGATTTTTAGTTAAACCTTGATTATTAATATTGGAAATTAAATTCCTCGAACATAAATACTTCATCACAGAAGTCTGCAAGTTCCAATGTGTTCGAATGGAAAATGAGAAATGCAATATTTTTGGGAGTTCTGGATGCAATGCACTCGAATTGCGGAAACGCCACAGCAGTGTTCATGTGAACGCCATTCCCATCTCAAGGGTCCGGCTTGATTTTGAAATAGCAGGTGCGCCCAATGATCTTGCATTTATGCCCGACATTCCAAGGATTTCGAAGCAGAAACTTTGGATCTGCGCGGATACCTCATACGAAGTAATAAATTTATCCATATCTCAATTATTTTATTACTAATTTGCTATGAAATGATTAAATCCGTCTCGGAAACGATGTCGATGACCTGTGACCTTGAACAGCATAAAGACAAGTTTCATAGCGTACTTGAGGAATCAAATAAGTTCCGATTCTGAAACACAAATTTTGAAGAAGCCGAAAGTGAAAGTTTCCCTTTCGACTTGATTTCCATGAGAGCCTTCTTCCCCCAACAATTTCGAAGGAGAAATTGCAAATTACCTATGAGGAATCAACTCCATTCATCAGTTGTAAGTTGCCAGGTTGCCAGTTGCCACGATACCATGTATTGTTCCAATTGCACAGCACTGAACGTTCACTTAGATTTCATGGTGAAATTCACATGTTAAACTGGGACAATTACGTAAAAAGAAAACTGTAGAAATCCAAGTGAATGATTAAGACATCTGCTAAAAATGTCAGGAAAATAATTCAAGCATATGCACCATGGGTCTCAAGAGGGTATGAAACAATTGACCATTACTATAACACCATTTTCAAAAAGTATAAAATGGTTCACAACAAAATTGCCTTTCTTTTTAGATCCTGCGAAGTTGGCCCTCGTGCTCCAGATACGTCCTGGTTGACGTATGGAAGCACCAGAAGAACTACAAGGACACGGCCAACGTCGATGACGCCGAGCACGAAAAATTCTACCAAGAGACGATGCTGGTACTTTCATCTTGGAAGGAGAAGCTGGACGTGAAGCGGACGTGGACGAGCGAGGCCGTGAAGGAGATCGAGGACGAGAGCCTCGACTTCATATACGTGGACGCGCGCCACGATTTCTGCGGGGTCTACGAGGACGCGAGCCTCTACTGGCCCAAGCTCAGCCCGGGAGGCATCATGGCTGGGCACGACTACATTAGTTGGCAAGAACTGAATGAACTGGAGGCTCCGGACTGGGGGTTGTGTGCGAACGGGACGTTCTTGGAAGCCTCAGTGAAGGAGGCCGTGGACCAATTTGCTAGTGAACACGGGCTTCAAGTGATCGCCACCTTGGAGGAATGGCCGTCCTGGATCGTTCATAAACCTTTACCTCAATGCTGATCGCACCGACGAATTCAAATAGATCTTTTTATATGGCTGACATACCTTGCTTCCTTTGATCTGAAAAATATACCATTGCGTTTTTGTGTTGGGTACTGAACTGGTATTGTCCTGTACTATATTTCAAACTCATTATTAGTTTCTTTTTTTAAGCCTATAACTACGGGAAAACGAACGGTCGTATGTTTCATTTCCTTCCCGAAGAATATCTTCAAAATGCTTTGCCAATCAAGGGTGTCACCGCCTCGGTTTTGTTTCACCCATGTTCGCTATCATCATCGACATATGGTACTTAGCACGAAATCCGAGTGCCAAACATTTCTCAGCCTCAATCAAATGCATATAAAAATCCGAGGATGACAAGAGTTCAAGCCGGAACACTCGCCGAAGATCGATCAAAATCAAGGGGTTTCCCATACAACTCATGCCTATTTCCAGGTATTTCACGCCGTTTGAGAACGAGACCGTGGAAGAGTTACCGACTGCCGTATTTGGCAATGTTTCCTTCGAGAGGATAATCCTATTGCACACCCACGTGGGATCCATTCCTCGAAAGAGCGGCTTCGCGAGCGGGAGATCCTGGCAGGCGAACTGGGGGAATTTCCATGGGACATCCTGCCCGAGATGCCAGGCATCGTCCATCTCGACCATGGAGAGAATTTCTTGCTCGATTTGCCGCCCGTCGAAAGCCCTGGTCTGGAGAGGCTGGGCAAGGAATCGGGGGCTATGGAATCGCAAGGCTCACGGTCGGGTGGTCGACACCGAACCTGACAGCTTTCGTGGTGGGTGAGTGCCATTGTCTTGGATTCAATTTCTTCATGCCAATATTGCGGTCATCAGCTTGCCCGTGAGTATGATTAGGCCTACCCTAAAATTAGGGAACGCTCGACCTCGATACGTGATATCGAAATGGGCGAAAACGCCTCTTGATATCACTAACTATCTTGAACCTTGATGACGCCGCACATCCCGAAACGCTTGTGTCTTGGCTTAGTTATCGCAGGATAGACGATTGCCAGCATATGTGTATATAAGCTATATAAGATTCGCAGGTGTTCTTTGAGAGACGAATGCATTCTTACCGTAGTCCCTATCAAAGAGTGTGACTACTTGATATAATTATTAGCCATTGAAAGAAATAGAGTAGCTAATTTGCTACGAGTGAAGGTGTCATTATGAAGGTAGGGAAGAGAACAGTAATCGATCCCACCATTTCTATTGTCTCCTTTCATCATGGATCATTTTCTTCTTGAAGTTATGTGAAGGATTCTCGATTGCCTTGATACCATCCCGGGCAGATAATAATCCCATCACGGAAGTCGAACACGGATTCTTCGAGAACCAGAAAAATATATGATTCCGATATAGTTTTATGCAACTTCGGTCTTCCTTCGGTAGGCTCGCCAACTGTCAGGCCCGGCTTGGCTTGTTTCAAAACGGGCAAGACTCACTATGTTCCCATAAATCCAGAGCTTCGGAATTGTTCGAAAATTCCAAGGCACAGCGTCCGAGTCCATGCGATGCCAATCTTTTATCAAAGCATGAAGTCATTTGAATTTTAAAGCATCTAGCCTCCATTCCCAGAAAATCTCGGCAGGTCACGCATAACGCAA